GCATGACGCACAAGAGGAAGATTCCTGTAATTTAGTTGTTTGGTTTACTATAGAGATTTTTTAAAAACTTTTTGAAAGATTTTTAAAAAAGTTTTAAAAAGTTTTTGATATTATGATCAAACAAAACCGGTTGAGAGTAAAAACATGGAAAGAACCCCTCACAACAAGAATCAATAAAGCTTAGTGTTTTTTCGATCCCTTTCCTTTGTATTCCTTGGCAGCGTGCTTCTTGGCGCAGACCTTACCGAAGTGCTTGAGAGCAGCTCTTGTGCTCTTCTTTCCTCTAATGAGTAAAGTGTCTTTTCCAGTTGGAGCTTTCATGGCAAGCTCATCGAATCTGAGGCATTTTCCACCGGCCTTAGTAATGGCTTGTTCGGCAGTCTTGGTGAATCGAAGAGCACAAACAGTCATCTTGGGGAGGACTGGCATTCTTTCGTCGAAAGTGACAGTGGTGATGCAGACGGCGATTTTTTGTTCTCTATCCTTGAGGAGCGCCGCAATTTTTGAGGTCGAGACAACAGGGCGGTTCACACCACTCAAGCAAAGTCTATGGTGGACGGTCTTTGCAAATTTGGATTGAGTTCTTTTGGCCAAAAACGCATATATTCTGCCCAACAACTTCATGTACGGATTGGTTCCTCTTGGGTTTCGCGAGACGTGCTTACGCTTGTTGTGTCTGTCAAGGTCAATCGCCATTCCAATCTGAGTGCTTCCCTTCAGTTCCTTTTAGGGTTCACTCCTATTTCTATTTGTACGAATTTTCCTGTTTATTTGCGCATTAATCCTTTTATATAAATATGACTATACATTATAATTAATTTTAGTATATTAATAACATTTGTCTGATCATGAAAAGGGGTTTCATTTTCCCGATTTTGTAAGACCTTTAACTGTGTGTGTTGAAACTAAAATATAGTTTGTTTATTATAATTTTACTTAATATATTATAATAAGTGTTAGAACTATTATAAAAAGATACTAGATAAATTATAGTTTAGATGGAAAGACAAATACCTCAAAGTTGTCAGATTGATTCATAAACTAAAAACTGAACAACGAAAAGAGATGCTTATTCGCCTTGAACCGTTTTATATGATGAATGTAATTTTATATATTCAACCCAGTGATATCAAAAGTTTTGAATTTGTGAGTACTAAGTGCCACACTGCAATAGAGATGATGCACACAAACCCAGTCACAACCACTGAAGTAGCAGTAACTTCACTTCTCAAAGTCTTCCCAAAGTTACACACACTTCAAATCACATCAGAAGCACTTCTAAAAGTCACCAAAGAAACTCTTCAGAACATCAACAAGATTCAATTAGTCGACAGAGATTTCTTTATTGCTGGCGATTTTTTAGAGAAGATGGTCTTCTCCACTCACCTTCCGTTAAAGGAAGACATCTACCCATATCTGAGGAATTTGACTATTCCATCTTCGAGTCTTGTCGACTTTAAAATGAACGCCGATAAGTATCCAAACCTCCAAATACTCAAAGTGTTGTTTCGTGAAGTTCGAGAAGTTAAAAAGGTCAGCCAAGTGTTGTTGAGTGTCATCACACTGCTAAGATTCAAAGTAGTCATCTCTGTTGGTTTATTTCATTCCCATCATTTCCACTCGTTGGACGTAAAAATTAAAAACAACATTATCGTTGTAACAAGAATACAAAGAGCTGACGGTAAGATGGATTTTGTTATTAATACTATCAATGGAAATGTTCCAAAGTCGCCACCAATCACATTGTATTACCCAAATAAACAAATTAAGACGGTCAAAGTTTCACCACCAAAAGACTTGGCTGTACCAACTGCACCACCACCAGTTATTCCAAACCCGAAAATAGTTTATAACTATTGTTATATTTAATTTTAATTAAATAAATTAATAAATTTATTTAATTTATTTAATAGTTTTTTAATATAACATTGATATACCATATGATATAGTATTATTTACTATTTCAATAGTACACCTGTAGTGCTATTAATTTGAATGAAAAATACAATCATTATTTGAGAAAGAGGCAAAATTGTATTATAACATACCAATGGACTATAATAAAAAGGTATTTCAAGTCATTATAACGACTAATTGCCACCATTGACACAATATTGCCTTTTTTTATAGAAAAGAAAAATATCATTTGATAGAAAAAGAAGCAAAACAACTTGCAAAACATTCACATGGCTTACACACAAGTTCCTGTCCAAATGCAGACGTACGCACAACCAGTCCAAGTTGTATATCAGCAACCACAGATGTACACCCTCCAACAACAACAAATGGAAGTCCCACAGCAACAACAAGCCGTCAAACAAAACACGTCATACTTTGGAACTGCACTCTTGTACTTCGTTGGATACATCTTCCCACTCATTTGGATGGTCCAACTCTTTTACATCTTCTCAAAAGACGAGAACACCAAGTTGTGGGGGTACAGAGCACTCTCTGCGTTGTTGTTGTATCTTGTTATCTCATTCATGACGTGTTACATAGTGTTCCAGCTGGATGTCGAGTACTGTTACACATACCTCTATAGCCGAAATTAATCACTTCTTCGTGTATTTTTGTTTTATATAACAAACTAAAAACAAAGCAATCAATACCAAAGAACTTGCAAATCATGTCTTCATTCAAACTCGAGACAGTCTTCCTCATGAACGTTGTTCTCTATCTCCCCCTCTCAGACGTGAAGACTTTTTACATTGTTTATTCGAGTTATTATTACTTATTCACAAATTTCCTATTCCCAAACACAAAAAAGAATACAACACATAAATTTTAAAGATCACATAAAAAACAAGTCTTCGACTCTACACATCAATTTCTTTCAATTTCATTCATTAAATTCTTTTTTATAAAATATAACTAATATTTATAATTAAATAAATATATTATATTATAATAATATATATATTATAAATTAAATAACTAATATTTATAATTTATAAAATAGATAATAATAAACAAACTGTTCTTTGTTTTTCAGTCTTACAAACAACTGTTTTGATGACGGCAATTTATTAAATTCGTCTCGAGTCATTTTAAATATTTTCAAAAATTCTCTGTCCGTTAAATACAAATCTTTTCGTTGCGTGTCGCCTTCCTTTGAAAATTTTCGTTTATAAATTTTGTTGTCATCAATCGAGATCGATCGTTTTGACTTCCTCTTCATTTCCTATATATTTAGTTTTGTTCTTATAATATATAATAAAAATATTATATCGGTCACTAAATGTACTTGAGTGGAATTTTTGTAATATTTCGAATATCTTTATTCCGATAAATCTTCAAAAAATGAAAAAAAACAAACAGGAGTTGCTTTTCTTTCTGCCTAATTTTAAATCTTTTTGTTCTCGATGTAACATTTTTGTAGTTAAATAATTATATTGAATAGTTTCATTTTACAAAAGACAAACTGAGAACGGATATTCGACCTGTCTTTTAAATGTCGAATGCTGTGAGTTAATTCGTTTTGTTGATCAAAGTGAAACCAAACCTCAAGAACATCAATTCGCTTTTTCAGTTGTTCGTTTTCGTCTTTCATTTTTTGAATTTCTGACCTACACTGATTTACTACAGAAATTAGGTCTTCTTTTTTATTGTCTAAACTACTTGTGGTTGGGGTTTTGTTCCCAAATTCGTAGGGCAAAAAACACTCTAGATTCACGGCTTTTTCCTTTGTTTCGTTTTGGTCAGCATTTTCAACAGAAAACGGAACTTCAACCAACTCATCGTCAGATAAAGAACTAATTGAATCTTCAGTCATTCTCACAAAAACTAAATTTGAGTTGATTATACCTTTTTCAAGTTTTGTTTGGTGCCATTTTTTGCTTTTATTTATCTTATTCTTTGTATGTGTAATTTAAAGGTTTTTTTATTTAAAATTATTGTATGGTCTCGGTGTTTAATTTATTTATTATTTTATTATTATAAATTTATTATAATTAGTTGTTTTACTATTTAAGTATTAATATTATAATTATATTCAATATGGTGTTGTTGTATTTCATTTCAGTTTAATTAATTTAAAATTGTTTTTTTAACGCCATTCAAAAATAATTAATACAAGTGCTTAAAACCCGATATCTATCAGGTCAACAACATCAATTTTTGGTCAAATATTGATTGATTATTATTGCAAAATTTAGAATGTTGTTGTAAAAACAAACTAAATAACATTTATTATTATTTTAAACTTTAAAGATACACTTATAATTCAAATAACTTTTCCAAATTATCAAGGTGTTGGTATCACCTTGATACCAATACAATAAAAAATGTCATTTGAATACAATAAATGGTATAGTTGTGACAAGCACAAATTATTTTTTATTTAGAGTTGGTGTTTAATATGATTTTTATTTAGTCTTCAATTTTCTTGCAGTTCATAGATTCAGTTCTTGTCACACCAGAATTCATTAAAACAACAAAAAAACATTAATTGTAAATACATTTGTTTATCATTTTAACCGGTTAAAAAGGACGAGACGCAAAAAAACGCGTTCAAAAATAAAAAAATGAAAAAACCTATTATTTTTTACCAAAATCAAATTTAAATTTATATATTTAAAAATTTTGGTATTATCATTTAAATGTTGGCTATTTTTAATTCATTTTTTTAATTTTTATAATTTGAATAAATCAAAATCAACAAAAATATTATTTGTTTTGTTTATTTTTCGGCTCTTTGTTCACCCAGTTCTTTTGCTTTTTGCAAATTTACTCCTCTGCACAAATCACAGACAATTTCGTGATGATATTTGCAGACATGAGTATTACACACACAACAATTGTATTTATAATCACAACTAGTAAGACGATCTCCTCCGAGTTTGTCACAGATACAACAATGGCCTTTTTTCTTTTTTTGATCAATAGTGTCAGGTAAAGAAGATGTGTCAATTATATCTACTCCTAGAAAAACAGCAATTATTCTTTTTTCATATGATGATACAGATTGATTAAGTCTTAAATTTGCATTTTTTTCACCCAACTGTAACGCGAGTTTTTGGTAGTATTTCAGTCTGGAATGTTTCGCGACAATGGCGCTAAGTTTATTTTGGAATTATTCTTCAAAAGTTGGTTGTTGTTTTGTGGTGTCTTCGTTGATAGGATCAATTTGAGATACGTCCACTGATTGTATGAATGTTGTTCCTTCTGAAGTCTCTGTAGGTTTCCTCTTCATTTTAGACCATATATACATGATATAAGAATTGTGGATTGCCATATCCAAAAGGTGGTAAAAAATTGCGAGAGGCCATCTTCTTGACACACGCTTTGTGGAGTACCTTGTCATAAGACGGTCAGCAACATCGACACCTCCCATAAACTTGTTGTAAACAAGATTGACATTAAATCTTTTTTCTTTGGTGTGCATTTTCAAATAAACAATTCTTGATGTCAGAATTGCAACACACCGATTTTTATCTTTAAAATTGACTAATTGAATTGGATTAACTCTTTGACCACCAAAAGTCTGAATTGCAATTACGTTTTCTCTTGATTTGTTTGTTAGTAAAAGGTTCGGAGCCAAAAATTTGCGATTGGAATTAACTGTTCCAGTTAATGTCACCCGGTAAGGACTTAGAATGTCTGCGGCTTGTACGGAAGTAAAAAAAACGATCGGTTGTCAAGTTTATGTTAAAAGTTGGTGTACCCAACTGTCTGTGATTCAATTCTTTTATTAATTGTACAATAACTTTGGCTCCTAAGTTATCAACAGGAATTCCATTGTTTGCTCCTCTATATACTTGAAGATTCATTATAAATCCTGAAATAGAATCAACAAGCAAAAAAAACTTAATTCCATATTTAGCTGGCTTTCCTTTCATGTAAGTTACATACTTCCATCTACCATAATAGTGATATAAATTTTCATCTATACTTATTTCCGTTGAGTTTAGATAATAATTGTTTTGTATGTCAATCAAATTGGAACGGAACCGTCTAATCAATTCACTTACATATTTAAAATTGTCCCAATTTAACTCTTCGTCTGGATACAATGAATTTATCATATCTTCCATATTAAGTCCATTGTGATTAGTCCTTGGTTGTATCAATACTGTTCTTGGGACTAAAGGGACTTCATGTGATGTTACATTATTGTGTTGTGAATATTGTGATAAAGAATGAAGAGTAATAGCGTTTTGGGTGTTTGATGGTGTTGTTGAATTAATTAATGTTGTGGTACAAGTAGATGTAGTTTGTTGTGATGAAATAACAATTTGATTTGAACATTCTGTATTTTGAAATGAATTGATTTGGGTGCTTCCTATTGGAATATAATTGCAATTTCCTCCAAATTGCATTCTAGTAGCAAGAAAAATTGTATTCAATTTTGTCAAACTTGTTTTTGGAAACGAAGTCTTAAAATTGTTGTTAATATCAATCGGGTCGTCATCTAAATTATCAGGTTGAATTTCTTCGTCTCTTGCTCTGACTATGTCATCTTCGTCATCTTCGTCATCAACTACGACTGATTCATTGTTTTCGTTATCACCTTTTCGTAAAACTACGCGTTCAAATGCATTTGAATCAAATCGTAGTGCCCATTTAATTTGCAAATAACGACTAATACTAATTGGTCCAACATACATCGGATTTGCTGTTACCCCACTCCACAAACATGAAAGGGGCAGTTTAGTATCAAGATAATTTGCCTGAGAAATAGAAACTGACAAAAAAGCATCAAATTCACTTTTGGTAATTTCTTTGAAGTGTTTACTTCCACTTTTGTTTTTTATTGCCTTTTCTCCAAATTTATTTGAAGAATTAATAATAAAATTTTTTATTTCTTCTGTAAAAAACAAATTGAAATAATCCAATGGAGTGGCATCGTTATTCATGTTAGATACTTTGAGATATCTATCAACAATAACCGAAAAGTCTTCATCGGTTGTTGAAAAAGAGGTTTTAACCCATGAAATTTTTCCATCTTTACTCATGTATTCAACCATAATATTTTAAATTAAAATTCAGTTTATTTTTTATCAAGTTTGTTTGTAATAAAAAAGTATTTTTTATGGCAAAAAATTACTCATCAATTATTGTTTTTGAAAAGCAATAAAAACATTTAAGTATTTTGTATTATATATTGATAGTATCGAGAAAAAAAAAGAAAATAAAAATTAATTATAACTATAAAATAATATATAAAGAACGAATACAAAACTGTGTTATAAATCCAATTGGATTTATATTATCAAAAAAAAACAATTAAAATGTGTTATTGTTATATCATTAGAAAACACACAGCAAAAAATGAAACGATAATATTTATTATTTAATATTTTTTTTCGTAACAATAGATTGCTAACTCGATAAATTGTTTTGATTTGTATAAGAGCGAGCAATGAATATGATGTATTTAACAAACAACTTAGTCAAAGGCGATAATGTTATTGTTACAACTTCAACGATTTATTTGTTTATTTGAAAAAAACCAAAGTCCAAACAATCTTGAATAAGCCTTTATATTACATGTTATTATTTTTCAATTTCCTGTTTATCGATCAAATACCATATATATCATCAATTCAGAACA